GGGAGACAGAGAAGAGGGAGACAGAGAAAGGGGGAGACAGAGAAGGGGGAGACAGAGAAGGGAGAGACAGAGCCCAGGTGTGTGTGGCGGGGAGAGGCTCTGCACACCCCGTCAGTGAGGACGCAGAGGGCAAAGGAAGCCACAGAGACACTGGGGGAGCATCTGGGGAGACGTGGGCTTGCTGGAGGGCGTGGCTGGGGCAGGGCTCTGTCCTGATCTCCCACCCGCTCTCCAGGGCGGGGACGACTTGGACCCCAACTACGTGCTCAGCAGCCGCGTGCGCACCGGCCGCAGCATCAAGGGCTACACGCTGCCCCCGCACTGCTCCCGCGGTGAGCGCCGAGCCGTGGAGAAGCTCTCGGTGGAAGGTGAGCGCCCCCACCCCGTCCACTGCTGGCGTCACCCAGCCCTGGCTCTCTTCCCCCATGGGCAGGTCCCCGGGCCTCTTGGGCACCCATTTTCTAAAGCAGGGGAGGAGCTTGGTAAATCGTGGGGGCTTGGGGAGTGGTGCGGGCTGTCAGCATTACCTTCAGTGCTGGAGATCGGGGGGCGCTGTCCAGACTCGGCCCCTGAGAAGACCCACGCAGGCACCTGGCTGCCTCAGCGTCCTGCCATCTGTTCATCTGGCACACATTTCCAGGGCTTCTTGCCCTGTGTGGGGAAATGGGGGTCCCTCATTATTCTCATAGAGCATTCAGCTGGTGGGGAGACACGAGGAAATTCAGAAACCCACAGATGGGCAAGATCATTCCAAAGTGCCATGAAGCGAAGAAATGGGTGTGGCAGAGAATGATGGAGGCGGCCGCCTCAGAAAGGAGGCTTTGAGGCCGGGCACGGTGGCTCACAACTGTAATCACAGCAGTGTGGGAGGCCTAGGAGGGAGGATCGCTTGAGCCCAGGAGTTCAAGACCAGACTGGGCAACATAGCAAGACCCCATCTCTACAAAAAATACAAAAATCAGCCGGGAGTGGTGGCACGCACTTATCATCCCAGCTACTCGGGAGACAGGTGGGAGGATGGCTTGAGCCCAGGAGGCTGAGGCTGCAGTGAGCCGAGGCTGCACCACTGCACTCCAGCCTGGGTGACAGAGCGAGACCCTGCCTCAAAAACAAAAAGAGGCTGTGTGCAGTGACTCATGCCTGCAATCCCAGCACTTTGGGAGGCCAAGGCTGGTAGATTACCTGAGGTCAGGAGTTCGAAGCCAGCTTGGCCTGCATGGTGAAACCCCATCTCTACTGAAAATACAAAAATTACACAGGTGTGGTGGCGCATGCCTGTAACCCCAACTACTCGGGAGGCTGAGGCAGGAGAATCACTTGAACCCGGGAGGCAGAGGTTGCAGTGAGCTGAGATTGTGCCACTGCACCCCAGCCTGAGCAACAGAGAGGAAACTGTCTCAAAAAAAAAAAGAAAAAGAAAAAAAATAACTTCAAGAAGTTGATAATAAATGTAGTACAATAATTAGGAAGTGCTGGTTTTGAGTACTTATTACTTTTGTTTTAAATATAATGTATTTAGGCTGGGCATGGGTGGCTCACGCCTATAGTGCCAGCACTTTTTGAGTCTCAGGTGGAAGGATTGCTTAGGCCCAGGAGTTCGAGACCAGCCCCAGCAACCTGATGAAACCCCATCTCCAAAAACTACAAAAATTAGCCAGGTATGGTGGCGTGCACCTGTGGTCCCAGCTACTCCGGAGACTGAGGTGGGAGGATTGCTTGAGCCAGGGAGGTCCAGGCTGCAGTGAGCCAAAATCACACCACTGTACTCTAGCCTGGGTGACAGAAGGAGACTCGTCTCAAAATAAATAAATAAATTTTAAAAATTTAAAAATAATTTATTTAAATTTATTTAGATATAAAGTTTGCATATTTGATGTTAACTAGGTATAATATGGTATGTGGTATGTAGCATAGTGTATAGTATATTACAGGCATACCTCAGAGATATTGTGGGTTTGGTTGCAGACCACCACAGTGAAGCAAATATCACAAAAAAGCCAGCCATGCAAATTGGTTTCCCAGTGCATTTAAAAGTTAGGTTTGGCCGGGCGAGATGGCTCACACCTGTAATCCCAGCACTTTGGGAGGCCAAGGCGGGTGGATCTCTTGAGGTCAGGAGTTTGAGAACAGCCTGGCCAACATGGTGAAACCCCATCTCTACTAAAAACACAAAAATCAGCTGGGTCTGATGGCACACACCTGTAATCCCAGCTACTCAGGAGGCTGAGGCAGGAGAATCCCTTGAACCTGGGAGGCAGAGCGTGCAGTGAGCTGAGATTGTGCCTCTGCACTCCAGCCTGGGCAACAAGAGTGAGACTTCATCTTAAAAAAAAAAAAAAAAGTTATGTTTACCCTATACTGTAGACTATTAAGTGCACAACAACGTTATGTCTAAAAAAAAGTATATGCCCGCCAGGTTCGGTGGCTTACGCCTGTAATCCCAGCACTTTGGGAGGCCCAGGCAGGTGGAT